AAGACAAGAAATACTGTGCACAAGCAGAAGCACACTGAACCCTGTGAAAATTTTCCTTTTGTGCATGGATGAGGGGAGGACTTAGTGTTTAGGGGAGTTTTGCTTTAATTCAGTTGAGCACTGAAAGAAATAAGAAGGATCTTTCCCGCCTTCACCTCTGATTTGAGAAGATCAGAGGCACAAAACAGGGACTTTTTTCCTATTTTTGTCAATTCAGCCAGAAGAGAATGTTAAAAATGCTGAAGTACCCCCTGCCTGCAGCATCATGCTTGGAGATAACATCCTGAGGATGATAATTAATGTATACCTGCGTTCTGCAGCAGGTACTCATCCTCGGGTGTAAGGTATCCCACAGGTTTTGTTTTGGGGCTTTCCCAGCCTCAGCTACATTGCAAATTGCTTATGAACTGAAACACGAGGTAAAGCAGATATACTGATGCAGTGAAGCAAGTTCTGCAATCACTGGAAACTCAGGAGATTTCCTTGAAAGTAGGGAGTGAATAGAGGTAGGGGAAAGCATTGATGTCTCTTTCTTTTCAGTCAAGTCAAAAGTTTGCTCACTGGCTTATGTTCAGTCCAATAAGCACATGCAGATCCAGGAGAGCTCTCTCCAGTCAGGTTACTGTACTCCTTATTTGTCTCAGAGAGACTGAGATCAAAATCTGTCCTGTCGTCTCTTTGTACATCTTTTTCTCTGCAACCAGCCTTTGTGCAGAAAGCTCCCTGTGTTGCTCTTCGGTACTAGTTTCAGCTTTCTCCTCAATCCCAGCTCTTTTTCTCTTTAGCACCGTAACGATTCTCAAACACTCCTTCTTTTGTCCATTTTTTAAACAAGAAGAAAAATAATGAAGGGAAAAATTAATTTATGTCTCATTGTAGATACTAATTGCAGAATGCGTTGTTTTTCTTTTCTCCCTTTTCTTCCCTTTGCTGACGCACATGCTCTATAATAAGCTCTGTTACTTGGAGCCTGTAAGCCTCTATAGTAAGCTGAAACTGCCACTATATTTACTCACTTTCCACATTTAGACAAAGGCTATTTATAACCAGAGTTCTATTTGCGGGGGCTGCCAACGTCACTTAATGTTCACATGCATCTTGGGCATCATATGCTTGTTATTTTTATTTACTGTGCCTATGCCAGGTCTCCTTTTTTTGGGGGAAGAAAGAATGAGAATGCTTCTTTAGGCCAGGTCTTGAAAGCTCTTTTGTGCAACAGCAGATAGACAGATAAGCACAAAAAAAAGCAACTCGGTGGTAGATTTGGCAAACCTGCTTTTTAATGGCTGGCATCATTTTTCTCCCGGTTTAGTTGCAAGGCTGTGTTCTTAGTCCCACTGCATTTGCTAAAGGTGAAGATGCTTGAAAGGTATATTAATTATTCTGGTGTTTCCTGGAGGAGGCATCAGTTCATGTTGTGTGATGATGGATGCAGGGATCAGGAAATTATTATGATTCCAGTACTGCTACCATATAGTTGAAATAGACGATTCAGTGCTTTCCTGATCCTTCTTGGAAATAGGTGCATGCTTTGGAACTTGAATGCAACAGATGTTATTTTCAGCTCATTAGTTTGTATTTTCAGTGTAAAAGTCCCCTGAAAATGCTGGAAAATACTGTGCTGCAGCCATAAATCAAGACTGCAAGCTGGGGCTCCTACGTAGTGTTTTCTGTATGGGTTTCCCTGCATTGCTCTAGTGACCTCAACTTGACCTAAGGGAATTGCCCTCTACAGAGGTTAGAAACACTGCATTCAGCTTGCTGACTCAGGACGCCTGACTCATTTGATATTGTCATCATCATATGCCCAGGATTTTGAGATACCCACATGCTTTTGTAGGGAATAGGTTATCCTCTGCACACATAATAACATCTTTATTTGCACTGAAGAACAAATTCCTGGAAAGGACTGAAGTTAGGGAGAAAGCCTTTAATGCTTTGTTGTCAGCAGGCTTTAGAGGAAAGTTTCAGCAGGAAGCTAAGTTAAGGAAGAAAGCCGAAATGGAACCTCCTAGAAGCGGATCTTGTTTAAGTTTGAAATGTTTTGGAAAGCTTACAAGTTTTTTTTTGAATCTCTCTCTCTGTACTTCCTACTCTTAACACTAATTCCATTTTCAGACTGATTTCAGCATGACAGAGACTGAATAAGCTTCACACAAGTCCAGATTTATGTATGCTGATCACAACAGTAGAAAATGCTTTACATTTCCCTGTTACTAATTTTTCCAGTGTTGTTTCTTTCTCCACTACAGTGAATGCTTCCATTTAAAAAAAAAAACAACAACCCCAAAACAACCACCTTTTGGCTGCCTGTAAAGCCAAGTCAGGGTTTTAAAATCAAAACTGCTGTTTTCACATATGTACTTCCAAAGCTGGGCAGCAAAATCCCCAGTAAGTCATGGGCAGGTGTTGAGAGTCAGTGAGAACCGCACATGTTTAATGTTTTATAGGTTAATGCATTTAGTTAAGTGACTACATATGAATGAATCTACATGCCTGTCTTTATATGCTTTTATTTAAAAAACATGTCATCCTGATATTACCCTATTTGGGAGTCCTTCCGTGTGAAATCGTGTTTCTACCACTAGCCAATGCTGTTTTTTGATGGTTTACAAACTACAAACTGAAACTAAAAGCTAGAAGGGAAGCATGTCTGAAAAAGAAACCAAACCAAACCAAAACCCCAATCATAACTATGTATCTTTGATTATAAACTGTCCTGTAAAAAAACCTGCCTTTTCCAGTGCCCCTCAGTTCCTGCCAGGCCTTAGATTTACCATTAGAGAATAAACTGCTTTTAGGTCCTAAGGATCACCCCAGGCCAGCAGTATGTAGCGTCTGTGTGAGTCTCTTGCTTTGGGCATGGTTCACACTGGTGGGGCACAGTAGCAAAGCTAACTACCGATGTTAGTTACCGAGTTGAGGAATCACAGCTTAATTCTTTTGTTATAACTTTTTTAACAGGAGCGTAATTGCAAGCATTCTGTCCTGTGTGTAATGTCTCTGATATCCACGGCCACATGACAGCTAAAACTGTACAAGAAAGAACATACATAAACATCCTTCTGGAGGCAGAACCCATCTTCCCTTTGTCATGCCACAGGCATGTGATATGCACATGGCTCACAAATGACATGCCACTAATAGCTGTACATATCAGGAGCAGAGGTGAGATCATCTATGTTTTCAAGGTAAATCTGTCAGTTACCTCATACCAGTAAGAAATGAGTATATCAAAATCATGGCTCATTAACAGAGCCACTTGTTTGCTGTCACAAGTTACAAGTAGCAATAACGGCTTCAGCTGGCACTGGCATAGTTTTCAGCTATCTCCTTAAAGCTGTTTTCTCCAATGTTTTTACTGCAGTGTCCAGACAAGTTTTTTATAGCGTATGCAAAGATATGATATTTTTACGCATATATGGATGGTTCTTTCCCTGTCAGCTCTCCACAGGGGGAAGGGTGGGTGTGAACAAGCAGGGTTCGGGAAGCTTTGATAACATCCTCTCACTGCTCTGTCTGATACATTTTTCTCTGTCTCCCCAACAAGCAGCAGCAAGCTTTGTAATTCATAGTAGTACTAGACTTATTCTGCAGACACAAATGGCAGGCAGGTTACTAAAAGATAAAACAGACTCATAAGAAAGCCTATGCAGCCTACTGCCAATATATCTGACTTTCTACAGTATCAACTATTTGCACTAGGCTGTGGCAGAAGGAGACTTATCAAAAGAAAAGAGAACCTTTTTCATCTGAAGAGCTGCTGTGGAGGGGAGGAAATGGGTTAAGTATTACAAAAGTTTATGCTGACAGCCAGCCCTTGGTCTCTGCTGCTTCGCAGAGGTTTCCCTTTGATGGAAAGAATTTCAGTGGCGCAGGACAGCACCAGCTGAGGTAATAGGCTTCTGCTGCAGAAACCTTGTGCTTGCCAGTGAAAGTCAGTGCATGAGACGGGTCTGAGAACAGCAGTGGCCAGCTTCTGTTCCTCCTCATGCACTGCTCGTGCGTGAGAGCATGCTGCAGGGGTGGTGGAGGGGATTGCACTGGGAAATGCACCATATCAGGATAAACAGGAATTATTTACTCAATGCTATGATGAAGAACCTTTCTGAGGGATGACGAGCGGTCCCAGATATTGCTGTTATCCATTATGGAGAGAAGCACCAGGACAATGCTTATGGATCACTGCAATCAAACTTGAGTCTTCAAAGTAATGTTGTACTGCCTTTCCCATTGATTCTGGAATGCACTAAATCTATATACGAGTACATTGTAGCTTAATGCAAGAGTTGTCAGGAGACAACGCTCAGAACCTGCAGCACCAATTCCGTTTCATGTGACTGATCAAACTTGTCACCTTGTCAATAACATCCTTTGTTGTAAAAAGTGTTTCATGTTAAGTGTTAATATGAAATGATTTATACAATAGTTTGTGCTTTTCAAAATGTCCATTACGTCTAACCAGAGCACTCTGGGCCCAGAGCCCCAAAACTGAGCCACAGACCTAACTACCTTTTGCAAACTGTAAGCCTACGTTGTTTGAACAGGGCAAGGAAAATTGCTGGCAGGGCAGAAATATGCACACACACAATTCACCCTTGGTGCTCTGGTATAGCTGGATACATAGAGAAGTGGGGGTGGTTTATTAACTAACAAGAAATTAACAAATTAACCTGTTTTGATCCAAAAAGTTACTGGTAGACATACCAACAGACTGGAAATTTTTGGTAGATATCTACATTCACTAAAATTCCTGGGATTTTTGAAAAAAGCAGAACTAGCTTTTCTTTTTCCATTGAAATCCAGTGTTTGGTGGCTTTGAGGAAGCACTGCCATCCAGGCATATGAATTCAGAAGCCATTTTACTCAGAGAATAAGCAGTGCTTTTTCAGTTGTTGCTACACCATATTACTCGTGGCAACACTTGGCGAAGACAAAACAGGAGAGAAACATTCTCTTTAAAAATACATCCTCAGATTATTCTGTGTACCCTGTTCCAGAGATTTTAAAGAGGTATTTGAAGCAGATATGGCCTTATTTAAAATAGATCCAGATTTCACATATGACAAATGAAAGTGGTTTGGGACTGAGGTTAGTACGTTCTAAAGAAAGAGACTATTTGTACTATTTGGATTTGGACCTGCTTTGGAATATGCATGAATATTTGGATGTAGGCTTACAGGCAGGGTAAGGCAGCATGAGCTGCCTGGAAGGAAGTTGTGAATCAGGCCCTTCATTTCCAGGCATTTCCAGGCATCGCTTTTCTTCAGAAAGAGAGAGAGAGAGAGCAAGTTGGCATTCATCCCTCAGGCTTCATTCAAACCAAATTCCAGTTGCAATTTTGCCAACTCTAAGTGTTAAAAATCAGGAAATTAAAATAAATAAATAAATATATGTTGTGTATTTCTGTTTGCCGTCTGGTGTTTGAGACTTAATACGGGTTATGTTTTCAGGCTTTTCTCTGCAACCAGAAGAGATAGAACCTCTGGGGCTAAGAGGTTGAGGGCAGAATGAGACCCTCACAAAGCACTTGACTCCAACAGCAGTGCTTGAATTGAAATCCCAAATATTGGGAGATCTATACTGTAAAATCCCAAGAGTCAGAACACATTACATTTAAGCTTGTGGGAATTTTGTCGATTAAGAATTATCTAAGGACCCCAAGCATGGTTTTGTTGCATTCCATATTACTGAACATGCTCTCAATAAGAGCTAAAGAAGTCATTTTCAGAATTAGAAGCTTCACACAGAGCTTTTACTCCCTGTGTTCTCTGTATGCTGTGTGTCTGCCCCCTGGACTAAGCTATAGCATAGGAACAAGCAAGAATAAATGAGGACATTTGTTATAACCTGTGAATCCATCCAGCTCAAATCTCCTGATACATAAACAACACCAGATCCAAACATCTTGTCACATCTGCTTCGTACACCAAACAGCTGGGTGCACAGATGCTTTGGTCTGCTGGAGCATCTTAGGCTGAGTGCATTCTTCTCTATGCTTAGTTATTTGTTTTAATTGGTTTTGATGGTTTTACTTAAATTGCTTCTGATATTGCTGAAAGATAGGTACTTTTGTGGCTGATTGTGACAGCTGCCGCAAGCACATGAGAGTAACCTAAACCTATTAGTTACCATCCGTAACCTAAACCTTCTGGGTGAGAGATCACTGCGAGCAGGCCCTGAATTTAAGGACACTGACTTCAGATGCAGGAACGTTGTTCTCTGGGCTAGAAAAGACACTTCTTCATGTGTCATGAGGCCCTGCCACCAGAAAACAGTGGAAAATCACACTTACAAATGCACAAACAGCTTCTGGCAAAGGAAATGAAAGTTGAACAGCTAAATAAAGTCTTTGTATAAATTGCGTGTAGATCATACATATAAATATACACACACAACTATATCCATATATTTTTAACAGGCACAACAGAGCATCTTGTTGATTTCTCCCTGCCCTTCCTCTCTAAACCCATTCTGTCTTGCTATCACACCATCGTATCATACCATAATTTAATTTCAAAGCTTTTCAAAGGCAGCATCAGGGCGCTCTCATTCACATGGTTAAACAGCCAGCAAGCCTATGAGGACTGGAAATAATAGATAGCATTTCTTCTGAAAGGGGAAACACCCTGTGGCTCAGTGACTCCCCACACTACTCAATCTTTTCTCAATCCATTTTGGATTCAACGGGGAAGAGCCCTTTTGCAAACAGCACCTCCTTTAACAACCTGGCATGTGTGTCAGTGCTCCAAGGGGAAGTATTGAACCCATCCAATGTTCCTCAGCTGACAAAATTAGAAACCACCACAGACCAAGATGGTCTGGATTCTGGCCAGCCTTAATTAAGTTCTATGAAGCATCACACATCTACCTCTAAAAAAGATTATGTTTATATTAAAAACTTTTGGGGGGAACAAATCACCAAAACCCCACCAGAACCTGATCCTGGTTTCTCACAGTGCAGGACAATAACCCCTAACTGCTATTTCGACCTGTGGCTGCTTCTACACGGTGCTGAGCTGTGCAGCCTGCACCATCAGCACTGATGTCCCTCACAGTGCTTCGATGGCTTTCCCTTTGGGCCATCAGTATGCAGCCTGCCTGTTGCATGCAGCTCAGGTGTCCAGGGGCTTCCCTGCCCCTGCCCGCTTCCTCCACCCCATCTTTGTTCTCCACATCCCTTTGAGAAGTTTCACCCTTGAGGATGCACCTACACAAATCCTCTGTGCCATGAGCATGTATACAGAAATGACCCAGCTGGCATAGACCCTTGCAAGCTTTCTTGCAAGCTCTGGAAACATGCTAACACTTCTTTCCTCATTCAACATGTTTATTTTAAAATCTATAAAACAAAGAGGAAGGGCATAGTGCTGGTAGGGGAGGAATTTTCCCTAACTGGTGGATCAGGGAAAGCGCTTTGTGTCTAGCACTTGTAAACCGGCAAGAGGGAATCCTGTCCTTGGTGTCACCGGCAGGACGTTGGCTCACCTCTAGTCATTCTATACTGACCGTGACATTTGCTAAGCCAAGACTTCTCTCTCATGTCTCCGAGCGCTTTCCACGAGGCACCAAATTACTCCTTTCACCTGGGAGCACCTCCCTGTCATCTATCCTGTGCTACAGTGATACTGCATCACGAGTCACTTCAGATTAATTACAATTGCTCCCTTTTTACTGAACCTTGAAGAACTGGGTATTGCTTCTCCTTCCTATGCCTTGCTGTAACAGGGAATTCACCTTCTGAGTCCAGCATAGCTATTCGATAATCTTTGGAGTTTCCTGCAGGTCTTCATAGACTTTGAGATCTTTGTAACACAAAACTGAATTTTACTTTGATGAATTTTTCATTACACTTCTTTTTAATGATCTCTGACCCAAACCATGGGAAAAAAAAAACAGTCTAGCTTCATTCAGTGCCAGAACTTGCACAAGTAAAGGGAGCATGATGTTGTCCCTTGATGTAAACAGCTGACAACTACTTTTGCATTCAGCACAGCTTGTACAATGTGTTTTTTTTAAACATCAAACAGGGCAACCACTTAATTGTTGAACTCACCGTGCTGCAGGAGCTTGTGCTATGCCACCAAATCAGAGAGGTTGATAAACATTTCTGCCTCGGGTAAATAATTTGCGACAAGAAATGTATTCCATGAACGTAGTTTCTTTTCTGCACAAGGAGTGTCTCTGGTAATGTTGCTGTTTCTTAGAGGTGGTTGTAATAAAAGCTAAAATTAACAAAATAGGCGTTACTATAGGCATTGCCAATAATCTTTCAGGAAACTAAATAAAGAATCTCAATCTATGCATATTTGTGCATGTAAGATCATAGCTTGATTTCCTCCTATTGGTCAGGGTAGTTAACCTCTATCACCCGAATAATCATGCAATTCAAACAGGAGCCTTGCAAGAATGCTAGTAAAGTGTCTCAAACATGTTCAGAAACTGTAAGCTTTTCTTTATCCTTCAAAAAGCTGTATTTTGTGAGGCTGGGATTGTGTTAAATGGCAAAATTTCTACTTCACAGGGGTTTGAGTGCCAAATAAAGGTAACGCACAAGTATGAATGTTTGCTATTTCCCACTGTGGAAAGAAGATGACTACATTTGCAGTGATGGAGGTTCAGATGGGAATGGCAGAGAACGTATGGTTGATATTATATATTATCATTTTGTGTCAAGGATTTGGAATGCCATTTTATGGGTGATGGGGTGGGCAGAAGGGTGAAGATAGAAGAGTGTTAATAAACAACCTTATTGCTTCCTACTCCTTGTAATTTGTTTGCTTTTTTTTTGCAGAAGAAACCCTCTTCGTACCTTATGTCAATCATAGCTGAGAATATGAACTATTTTTTATGTGAATAAATGAATGTGAATGTATGTGAATAAAGTAACATGCCATTTCCTATCTGGAAATTATGCATACAGTTCATATGGTGAAAATCCATTTTCTCCTTAAGCCTACACTGGTGTTTCAGATGCTGATGTTCTTGTAGAAAAAACCTGCTAGTTGGAGTTGGCTTAAAGGAAAACAGTCAAGATTTGCAAGACCATCATTTGGATTGAGTGAAGTCCTTTTCCTTTTTTCATCTTTAGTTGTATTCAAACAGCCTGTCAGTTTTTAGCCTTCTTCTGAAAGTAACAGTCAACAGTCGTAGCTCTGCCATGCCCAGGGACCAGCAGCTCCGAGCCGTCTGTTGGCCGGGACGGAAACAAACCTGGGGCTGGTGTAAGTGTGAAAATTCTCAGTAGGGAAGCAGCTGTGTTTTGATCCTCCCAGAGCATCTTGGAAACTAGCAAGGGGAATGATAATTATGAAGATGATATTATAATATTCACATTTAAATATATAGGTTTTATAGTTGCTCCCTTTTCAATATGCATTTGCTTAGGCACAAAAGGTTGCGTGTATACTAGCTGTGTATGCTTTGCCCCATGCCACAGTAAATATGTGAATCACATGGATTATACATCAACATAGTTGTGGCAAAATAGATGTCCAGGGTAGGGTTTGGGGAAATTGTTGTTTTTTTTTTCCCTACTCCTTGGAAAGGAATCAAAATTTAGAGTTCAGTCAGTACCTACTGTTTCTGATGTGGTGGAGCACCTTGGAGCCTGCTTACTACATGGAGGATTGCTCTGAGCAGAGCTGCAAAACCCAACATATTTACAAATGGTAGAAACCTGTCTTCACAGACAATGTTGCATTGAGATAACTGAGTAATACCTGGTAAGAAGAAGGGAAATTGCACTGATTCCTGGCAGGAGAGAGAGGGTATGTCGTAGGTGCCGTAGAATATTGAATCAGATTTTAGATATCTGCTTAATTTCGTGAAGCTTCAGGGCCTAGCTCATCTACTTAGAAAGTCAGTGAGGTTCACAGCTGCCTGTTGAATTAAATGAACTAAAAGCATGAATATGAGTTGCAATTTGTATGTCTATAAACAACACACATCATGTGGACAAAATAGTCAGAGGCCACAAGTAAATGTGTTGTAGGGCCTAACTTGGAGGGTGTACGGAAAAAGGGTGAATAAGAAGGGCACTCGGCTTCAGTAACTCCCAAGAAAACATTTCATGACATATCACTCAGTGGATCTACAGCTACTTGCAGAAGTAGATCTGCCCCAGTATTGCTCTCAGTTTGATTTTCCTTGGGTTTTTTGCCCTCCCAATTTTACAGTATGTTAGGTTTTGGTGCCTTAAATTTTACACCTGTTGTTTGTACACCAACTATTAAGGTGATAACACCTAGATGTGTCTGACTTTGAAAGTTTGCATTGCCATTAAGCTATTTTCCTTTCTTTTTGTGAGAGACGGACAATTAAAAACATTCCCACTATTTGTAAATTCTCCTTGTGAGGAACACAGCAGATTGCCTGGATCTTCTGCTTGTTGTTCTGGCTTCAGTTTCAGAACTGAATGCACTCCTTCTGCTCCGTCTGTTTGAGTTTTGACAATGCAAAGGATGAAGCTGGAGGAAGTCCCATATATAAGAGAGGTCTATGCTTCTGCTTTATCTCATTTTTAATTGAATTTCAGTTGGATTCTGCTCACTTTTATGTAATTCAGTGCTGGAGGATACAGAGTTTTTGCAGTACACTTTTGCAACTAAAGTTCTTTTTAGTCACGAAATGGTAACATATAATGGGCATTATATTTAAGCACAGCTGATGCTTTCAACTAGTACTCTTTTTCTGCAAAATAAGCTATTTTGCATGCACTTAATTGCTGAAATGTATATAGAAGTGGCTAAAAACTTCACTATTGAATGCCTCTTAATTAACTGCATGTTAATTATTCATCAAGCAGAAAACAAACTAGTGCATTTCCTTCAGCTGATTATGCAGTGTGCTTTTGTAATATGCCCTTTTTTTATTGGGCAAAGGAACAAATGCTCACTTGGTTAATGTATGTTGGGCTTCCCTGCAGTGTCTCACTAAAAGCCTTTTCTCTCAATCGGATTTTCTTTACAAACTTCTGACTTGTCTTCTCAGTCTGGTTTTGTATTGTAGGTTGAAATTCAGCATTCTTGAGCTCCATTGTATTTTACAAGAGTGCCACGCTGACAAAGCCAGCACTGCAGCAAACGTTTTTATTGTCAAAAATCATTCCTGTATGCAAGCCTATCAAAACAGACGGGCTAACTTGCCTATGTAGTATCTTTATGACACTTTATGTCAATGAATTTACAAAATATGGGACTGTGTAATGAATCTTCTAGTTATTAATTAAATATTAATTGCATTCTTTTGTTGCTTCACATACTTAAAGTATTTTTCACAACATATTCTGCAATGTATTACAAATGAAGTAAGGAAGTGTATGTTTAAGTTTGCTTGTATAGCCCAGTTACACATTTCTGTCTGTATTATTAAACTAACAAACCTTTATTAACAAACAACTTTAATTGCTAAGAGCTGGTTCAAAGAACATATGCCATTATGCGCTCTTTTTATAAGCAAAATACGCAAATATAGAAAACTTTGCTCATCTTTCTGCTCTTCTTTCTGCTTTTTTAAGAGTATAGAATAACAGTTTGCAGGACTGAATACTATGAAAGACTTTGAAAATTCAGTTAGAGCACAGCATCACTAGATCATTAGAAATGAAGTTTTTGTACTGTGTTAACAGAAAACTTCTGCTGCTTTGGGGTGTTGTAACAGAGGGCAAGCTAGGCCTGCTGCCAGGGCTGGGTGGACTACATGAGTGGACCTGTGAGTGCGAAGACAGCTGTCTGCCTGGGAAATTCAGAATGTTTGCTCTGCTGGAAACATATAAGCCTAATATTTGTGACATGCAGCGTAAATTCATTACATGGAATTAATTAGTACCATTTATATGAACTACTAATTAAAAAACTGTGCAAAAATTCTACTACAAAGCCATGGCAGCTTACCAAATTGAGACCCAAAATGCTGATCTGGTCAAAAGCTAGCAGTGAAAGGAAAGAAATTTTGCTATAGAAGCTTGGACTCAAGCAGAAAAAGGGGAAGGATTTATCTCCTCTAGTCCAAGACATGGAACATCCAATATCTGATCCGAACCAGAATCTGAACCAGCCATTGGCAAGTGAGAGAAGGTCACCTCTAGAAGGATGACTTACCCAACCCTTGGGGAAGTGGTGACCCCACAGCGCTGCTCCTTGGTCCTCAGCAGCTGCAGAGGCAGCTTAGGCTGCTTGCTTTGGTGAAATGGTGAGCTTTCCCATAGCTAACCTGCAGGGAGATTCACTTGTCCCTGGACCCGAGACTGACAGGCTGACTCTCTCTTCTGGAGGAGCAGTAGCTTTATTAGGTTGTAAATCATTAATTTCAGGTCTTGGCCATCCTCAGGGAGCATATAAATTGTCAGTAAATTTTTTTCTATGTTTGTGTAGTGATGTTTTGTCTGTTGTCATAAGCGTTTCAGACGGGAGAGTCTGTACACAGTACATGTGTTGTCATAGCTCTGGGCAGTTTTCTGCCTTCAGGCCCAGCTTATGTCCCTGCACCAGTGTCTGAACAGTTCCATTATGCAACCAAAATGGAGAACATGCCAAGCCCTTTGGCATAGTCCTGCTGACAAAATCCTCCATTCCCAGGAAAGAGAAGGGCATGGCTGTGGCTGGGCTACAATGGCCCGTTCAGGCTCTTTGCTGCATAAGTCTTCGCAGCAATGCTGTCTGCATGAGGAGGAACAGCAAGAATGGCTTATCTCCCTGCAGATCCCAGCCTGCCGTGCATTTCAGGGTGGACAGATGGAAGCCCCATTGGATCTAGCTGTGGAGGGAGAGCAGATTAATTGCTATCTGACACTAGCAGAACGGTACCAATTTCACTTGCCTGGGAAACAGTGTCTGTTCCAAGGCAAAGGAAGAATAACAGTTGTCTGATGCTGTTACTTCTCTTGTTCTCCTGCTTGCAAGAGGAAGAAAGAGGCACGGTACTGCATGGAAGTCTGTTTACCCACTGAGGAGAAATAAAAGCACCTCATCCTGCAGGCACATAATTGTGTTAGTCTGCTTTGCCAATTACCTGTTTTTAAAGCACTTTAAATTAGATTCAACTTCATTCTGTTTCACTTTCTGGTCATATTATTTAGAAACATTATGGAAACACAGACACAATAAAAGTTCTCCGTGGTTAAAAAGAAAAAAAAAAAGAGGGAAGATGTTTCCATCATCTTTGCTGCTCAACTCTAGCCCCTTTGCTTAGCTTCAAAGGAAACCCCCAGTACTTCTTAGCACCTGTGCCCCTCGTGCCTGCTCTGGGAGTCCAGCAGGTGGATGAAGCTGTCAACATGTTATGGGACCCACTTAGCAGCGAAGGAGGTCTTCAAGTCATAGTTCAAAATGGTGATGAAACTTTAGTAAACATGAAGAGTACGTGAGGCAAGAAGGGGGGTCTGTGGGTCTGTGCCTCTCACTGCTGCTGCTCGCTGAGTGGTGACAACAGCAGGTCTCAGCTGAGATGCTGCAGGAGAAGGTACGTGTTGTCCCTACTGTCTCCAAGGGATAGATGCTGATATGGCAGTGACCGGTTATGTCTGGCAGACGGGGTCCTGGAGTGAGAGTGAAGCTAGTCTCCTATGCAGAATAGATATGAGGCATAGGGCTAATAGCAGACACAGTAAAGACCCAGTTGTGTGAATTTCCTCGTCTCTGAGACC